TTTTTTTTTTTTTTTTTTTTTTGTATTTGTTTTTTCCCTGAATATTGTGCGACTGTTTTGAAGTTAAAATCGGTGGATGGGATGATCTAACTGACTGACTTATGAGGTGAATAGGCTTTCAATTGAATTCCATTTTTTTGTTCTTTTTTTTCCCCACTTTTTATTTTGCCCCCTTTTCCCTTTCTAATCTTTTCCGGACATGTGGTTTAGAGTAAGGCTGGCCATTCGATGCCATTTTCTCAGATTTTCTTTTTTGAATTAGGTTAATCTTGAGTTAGACACTATTCTTGGGATTGCCTCACCGTGGCCCTAGTCCGCATTGTTGTACCGCCTGCAAATCGAGGAAGACGACCAGAAGGAGAAGGGGCAAAATTATTGTGCGTGAAATTGAATTGAAATGGTGTCAAAAATAGAGCAAAATTTAATTTGAGTTGTTATGGGCAAAATTGTACCTGCTGACATTGATGTGGGTTTGTGGTGAATTTGTGGTGAATGAATTCATTTTTTTATTTTTTTAAATAAATAAGGGGGTGATTGTTTATAGATTCAACAAGTTTTTATTTGGTTTGTTTTTTAACTATAGTCAACTTTGAAAAAAGGTGGTATAGTTAGTTGTTAGTGGATATATTAAAATAATATTTAAATAAAATAATTAAAGTTGATTTGATATAAAGTAGGAGAAAAATGATTGGAAGTGATGGTTAGTTAAAATTATGTGAGTGGATGAATAGTAAATTAAAATTGATGTGATGTGTAAGAATGATTGGTTGATATTATTTAATTATATTGATAATATTGGAGATAGTGGAGTTGGGTTAAAGTTGAGTTAAATTTGAGTTTTAATTGGTTTTTTACTATTGAAACTATATCCAATCGCCCCCTAAGTTATCCTACATCTATCCAACATAACAAACACAATATAAAAATAATCCAAACAGTATAATCCCACCATTTTGAATTATTTTTGTCCAATCCCATCCCATTTATCAAACATGTACTTAAAATCATAGATAGTTCCAGTTTTTAATCTAGCCGAGTCCTTAGGAGAAACTTTACACTCCAAACTCTGTAGCCTGTACAGAAGCTCGAATGGAGCTTGCCCATTTTTCTATCGCCACAAACTACGTCGTTCCACCCACACCACCACCGGGACCTGCAGCCGGAAGCTTCTCTCCTCTTCCAGTTTTTCCGGTCATTTCAAGAACTTCCGGCCCTTTGTTGGCTTCGAAATCCACAGGTACACCAATTTCATCCTTTCATTTGTGGCTTCGAACTCCTTTACTTTTTTTTTATTCGGGTGAATCTAATTTTGTATCAATTTTAGCATGAAAATCACAATCAGGACGACCCCGCATTTTGAACTCTAGCCTTGAATTTGAAATTAGAATTATTAAGTGCATTCAGAATTTGAAATTAGAATTATCTTTGCTAAATTAGGTTGCTAGAACTGCTTGCCTGCATTTACGACCCGAAAAGTGGAGTCTTGGAGAGATTGGAATGGAAATATAGAGTGTAGGTGTCATCTTTTATTGTAAAGCTGCCCCACTGATGAATGTTGACATTTTCAAGTGATCAAAATGAGTAGAAATTGGCTTTATATAGTGGATTATGTGAAAATTAGCCCTTCGACATATACTATAGAACCACCCATTTTCGTATATGAAATTTTGTGTTACATCTTGCTGCCCCGTGTTTTCTCCGGAAGCATACTCAAGAGCTGATGTGGTGTTATAGTAAGCTTCCTTTTGAGTGTATTAAAGCTTCTTCCTTTCGAGTGTAGGCTTTCTTTTAAGAGCTGAGAAAGTTAGATCACGAAATTCCTTTCGTGCTGCTAGTTCAAGCAATACAGCAGCTGCAACAAATGAATCGGCTCGAGAACATATGTCGTTACCTGCACAACCCGACACAAAAACTAATGACGAATCGAGTGAGGATGATGCCGATGAGCTGTTAGATGATCATAGAATGGTACGAATTTGTGATAAACTAATCGAGGTTTTCTTGTTCGACAAACCCACACCAAGTGATTGGAGAAGATTATTGACTTATAGCAAGGAATGGGACAATATTAGGCCCCACTTCTATAAGAGATGTCAGGAGAAAGCAGATAGTGAGAGCGATCCTGGAATGAAGCATAATTTGTTTCGGCTTTCAAGGAAGCTGAAAGAGGTATAAGTTGCAAGATATTTGTTGATTAATATTTTGGGCGTTTTAAAGGTCAGGTTCTTGATCAAGATTAACAGATTCCAGAAGATCGATTTCTATTTTATTCTTTATCTTGTTTATTCAAGCGTATGTTTCTTTTTTCTGATTTTTTACAATTATCCTTTAGGGATATAGTTTGCAAAATTATTTTAAAGCTCCATTTTAGGAACTAACTCAATAAATTATTTCCAGATTGACAAAGACATACAAAGGAACAACGAGCTCCTTGATGTAATCAGAAAGTCTCCATCCGAGATGGGTGAAATTGTAGCCAGGCGTCGAAAGGACTTCACCAAAGAATTTTTCATTCATCTTCATACTCTGGCAGAATCATATTATGATAATCCAACAGAACAAAATGGTCAGGTTAACTTATTGCATTTATTTTTAGCAACCTTACTTTCATCGACGAAAAATTGGTTAGATTCTGTGAATTGTGAATAAGTCTTAAGTAACAACAGTCATATTTGAATGTAGATCAAGACTTATTCACAATATGACTGTTGGCAAATTGGCCTTTTAGTAATAAACTATTTCACATATGAATTATCTCTGGTTAAGGTACAAGTAAATAGAAAAGTGAAAATTTTTAATAATGTCCATTTATTTTTAATTAGTCTGATTAAGACAAGGAGTTAAAAATGGTTTGATACTAAAGTTTTGGTGTCAACTATGTTTCTTGGTTGAAAGTCTCAATTGATTGTCAAAGATTTTGCCAAAGTTCATTGTATGAGTTGACTAAATTTTCGCTACATTCCTGATATTGATATGAGATTTATGATAACACAATTTATTCATTACTTGTTTCGAGCTGCTTATTTTTCCCTTTTTTTTCGGGTGAGTAGAGGTTTCAAAGCTTGGGAATACGTGCTTAGCTGCTGTAGAGGCATACGATAATGCAACTGAAAGTACAGAAGCGTTAGAAGCTGCAGAATTGAAATTCCAAGACATAATTAGTTCTTCTTCGGTTGAAGCTGCTTGCCGGAAGATCGACAGTTTGGCCGAAAAAAATCAGCTCGATTCGGCTCTGCTTCTCATGATTACAAAAGCTTGGGCCTCTTCTAAGGAGACAAACTTGACGAAAGATGAGGTAAATCGGTAGTTTCATCTGATTGGCACATAATGCTCATGATTTGCATCACATTCTTGTTAATGTCAAAGTACATTACGCCATCTATGTAAACTTATTGATTTTTATTTTTTATTTTTTTATGTTGCAGGCGAGAGATGTGGGGTATTATCTATATAAAACATCAATGGATCATCTCCAGAAGCTCGTTCCGAAAGAAATCAGGATAGTCAAGTATTTGCTCAAGATTGAAGACCCTGAAGAGCGGATGAGTGCTTTAAATGACGCTTTTGCCCCTGGAGAAGAACGAGAAGAGGAAGGAACGGATGTAGAAGGCCTCCACACGTATGTAATCAAACCCTACCCAGGCCAGCTAGCTCGATTTGCTCTTTATAAAAATCACACACGAACTTAGGATTGAATACGAGTCATAACCGATTTTAATCGGTTTTGACCGGTTGAGTTATTTTATACCAATCAAAATCATACCCAACCGAACTCTCCTACTTCACACATCACATCAACTGTAATTAACTATTTATCTACTCATATAATTTTAACTATCCATCACTTCTCATCACCTCTCTCTTACTTTTACATGAAATCATCTTTAATTATTTTATTTTAAATATTATTTTAATCCAAAACTCAAAATCATCAATTCAATCAACTTTATTTAAAATAACTCAGTTTAACCTACCAAATCCAACCAAAACCGGTTGGGTTCATATCTAATCTCGTCCTTAATGATCTTATTATTATCCGATAAGTTGCATAACTTGTTTCGGTTTTCAATCATTCCCAAATTTGTTGTTTTTTTTAACAGGACCCCTGAGAAGCTGCACGCCAAGATTAGGAGTGTGGTTGATGCGTATTATTTCAGCCAAGAGGGCACTCTGGAGAAGGAAGCTCGGGATTTAGTGAGGCCTGAAATCATCCAAAAAATGGAGGAATTGAAAAAGATAATCCAGGATAACTTCATGTGAGCTCCATATCCTCATCGAGTTTTTTCTGGACAAGTTTCATGAGTTTATGAACCAAAATGTGGACTGCATAAGCTTATTTGCTGGTTTAGAGTGTTGAGTTAGGGAATGCAAGGGCACATTGAAACTTGTAAAATAGCATTTTGTGGTGAAATGTTTGTGAAAAATCTGGACAGTGTGCCCTATTTGGGGCTGCAGAAACACAGACCACAGAGATATTACCATAAGCTATNATTGATTTTCTTCACAATGCTTTTGATTCATTTTTGCATAGTTGTCGTAAAAATAGACTTATATTTTGAATGATGAGGAGAAATTAATGAAAAAATAAATTTCTCATTGTGATGCAATATTTTAAATGGACAGTCTATGTTATTTAGATAAACGAGTTTGAGCTCAACTCATTGTGATGCAATATATTAAATGGATCTGTATCTAATTTTATTTAATTTGTATTGGAGACAGTCTATTTTATTTACCTGCTACATTTTGTTTAGTTATTGGAAAAAAAATGTAACACAAAATGTCCAACATTCTACATGAGAAGGCCTAAAATTTAAGATGCTGTTTAGTAGATTGGATGAAAGGCTTGCAGAATTATTTTTCGGAATTAAAAACTAGTTAAATATAATATTGGGATTAGCTTTCGGCATTTAAATTCCTTTTTTTCCCCCTACTCTTTTTGAGAATGCTTGTCCCCTTTGCTTTAATTACGTGAACACTGCGAAAATCTCTGGGCCCAAAAGCCGCAGCCCAAAGGTCCAGTCCGTGAACAGACTCTCACCTAACATAAAGCCTTGATTAGACTGTGTGGAGCGATCTCCAACGGTCCAGGCCCACCTCAAACAAGTCCTCAATACCATGATTCCTTTAGAAAGCATAGTTTGTGTTTAAGCTATTATTAACGAAAACGAAATGATCGCTTGTGATTTTGATTTGACTAGGCTCCTTGATCAACTCAAACATGAGCTCGAGCTCGCTTGGTTAGCAAGCAGAGTTGTTAAGGTTTAAAAATATAACTTTTTTTTACGTACGAATTGCTAAGACACAAGTTAGACACATTAATATTAATATTGAGCTAAGTTCAAGCTCGTTTATTGACTCGTTTAGTCAAACAATCGAGCTTGGCTCATCTCGACAAACCCTCGTGCCTAGGGTCAAATATTAGCGCTTGAGGACTACAACAGCCGATATGGATTTAGACCTTCTAATTTAAAATATTTTTTATTTTATGTTAGCTCTTTTTTTCTTA